TGATGTAGGAGAGTTAATAATATGAATATTGAGGATGATGATCCGTAATGAACAGAAAATTTGCAGCTGAGGCAGATTAAAAATTCATTTTTATTTTAACTGACGTTTGAGGCCACAAATACTTAGCACATTAATCGTGCCTGTTCTAGAAAAGTTAATTTTTAATAGCCTTGCGATAATAAGAGAAGGAGGTGATAGGCCGATGACGGAACGCAAGTGCCTTGTGTTCAGGATGAAATCTCAGTTGAGAGTTCTTTGAGCTATTTTGAATTAATTATTAATTGAGAATGAGTTAGTTTCGGTTCCATTGCATTTGATTGGATAAATAATATTTCTGTAAAAAGATTATTTTCCGGTAGAGGTTTAGTTCTAATTACATCAGCAGTGTATGTTAAAATCATATGATATGATTAGACTAGAAATGGTGCATTTCAGAAAAAATTATTATTATTTTTAGGCAAGAAAGGGAAAATACCCAAATTAAAATAAGGCACTAAGGAGCTATTGTTGATTTGTATTTACAGACTTTTATTCTTACATATATCTATATGTGAACTTAATAGAGAAACCTAAAAAAATTAATCGTTTTAGAAATATTGTCTTTTGTCAAATTTTATTGAAAAAATGAGGCTTAAGCTACAAGTGTTCTCAATAAATATATATGTACCTTCATCATAAATACTGGAAGTTTTTTAGAAAAAATACGTATATTTTTCCTTCAATGTACATTTTAAATTTTACATTACTAAATAATTTTATTTTAATAATATATATATATAATATATAGAATACAGAAGGGTCAGGATTATTTAATTAACGCAAATAAATATTAAACATAAAATGCTTAATTCTCTCCTGAAAATTACAAATATGACATTCAACGCCGATAAGAAACAATTCTAGCGATTCACTTCCATTGAAAATGCAATGATTGTGCTTTCTTTAACGAATGTTTCAGTAGGACTTATATAAGAACAATTTTCCAAATGGTTTGAATTAAAGGGGTTAAGGACTATTTAGGTTCACATTTGATACATTCGAATTCGCTTTCGAATCCAGAATTTTTTCAAGATTAGTTGGAAAAGAATATTCAAATGCCCCATCATTATTTAAAACCATATTTAAGTAACGCGATTTTGGAAAAACACACCTCAACAAGATACGTCAAATTGATGACAAAGAAATTTTATATTATAATAGTTATATGGTATTTCTCCCACTTAGGCGTGCTTTCGTTATGTGGTGGTCTGCACACTGGGCCGGTATTTCAGAGGTCCGTGGTTCGATTCCCGGCGAAGGCGTTGTATATTTTACATCTTTCCTGCTTCTAAAAATTCCTAATGTCTCTACAGTGGCGCCCTAACTATAAGGGTGGTGGATGATAATTCTCCTCACCCAGGATTTGGCGACTGGGTCCCCTAAAACCCCCTAAAACCTAAAACCCCTAAAACCTTTAAAAGGTATATAAGGGTATTTCACCCACCTTCTTGGCGTGCCTTCGTGGTGTGGTGGTCTGCACACTGGGCCGGTATTCCAGAGGTCCGTGGTTCGATTCCCGGCGAAATCGATTGCTCATTTTTCATCATCTGCTTCCAAAAAAAATCCTAATGTCTCTACATAGTATCAAAAGTGAATTGAATTGTTCAGATTTTGGAAAAGTACACGAGAACAATCTGCCTAAGGTAAAGGAACTCTTCACGGAGGTCTTTGTAAAGGAAAGTGTTTCACATTCAAGTTTCGTATACAGAAAATCCTTAAAATTATCCTGCAACCAACCCGTTTGCAGAAATTTTAAACTATGTTATTCTATCAATGTTCGACGATTCTACTACTCCTCTCTTGATGGGTATTAAAGGTTAATTTGGCGGACTCTTACTGCTAGTTTGAAGCCAGGAGTACGAGTCTGAATCCTTGTAATCATATATTGCAATTTTTGTAAAGCTTTGCTGCAATGTATATATTTTTTTTACCCTTCTCGCGAGTGAAATCTGAGACGCACCTCCAACACCGCTCGTGCTGATGAGATATCAAAATGACCGATGAATCTAGTCCTTGACGATGAAATACTTTCGAGAAAGAATCTGGCTATATTGGCAGAATATTACTTCAAATCAAAAGGCACTAGAAACTGTTGAAACGTCAAATAAAATAACATCACACTTTAAATATACATCTACTAAAAACCGACAACTTACTCTCAATCAGAATCTTAATTTTACAGGAAAACATTAAGACTAAATGACAGTTGAATATAAGACATATAAATAAAAACATAATAAAACAACGTTATTTTCTTTTTACGTACTATGCATTACATTTCGCAGTTTTCAAATTTTTTTAAAGTTAAGGCATAATTTATTAATTAAAATACGTAACATAATACTTGAAGTTCATTGTACATACGCACATCTATAGTTTCTTCGCTTTAAATAAATTTTCTGCTGGAATATTTTTCACTTTAATGAAGTTGGTTTTAATTTTCGTTCTCACTTCGGCATTACAACGAGAAAGATTTGTTTATATGCATGTGCGTGACAATAAGCCCAAATATTTGTTACAGAATATTCTTTACAAGAGAAAATTTCTTGATCGCAAACATAACAAAGTAAAATCTACGGAAACATTAGACCACAAACAACTGAATTGTAGCATGATTCACAACATGTAGCTTAGAGTTAAAATAACTCTCCTAATTAATCCCAATTTGTGTCTGGTCCCCTGTTTGTTTCGTTGCGGAATCTCTTCAATCAATAACCTAAGCTGTATTCCTCTCTCTTATCCTCGTCCATGGAGCAGCGGGCGAAATACGACTGGCTTTGCAGCCTATATATAGAAAATGGAGCACCATCTTCTGCCCCTCTTTTACCTCGGCCCACCCGGCCGAAAGAGACCAAATTGTATTACACTTTTGTCACTTTCTTCGCTGTCTTAGTTTTGCAGCCCCCCCCAACTGAAATCCCTTTTTTCATTTTTTTACTTTTTTTTTAACCATCGGGTGGGAGGTAGGGCGATTTTGAATAGGTCACGATGCCGGATAATGTGTTCCACTTTGTAGATTCGGATATCACCGGATAGATTGTGAATCATAGCGTAAAACCAGCGCTATTCAGGACTAAATTAAAAAAGAGAGAATCACGTAGACAGAGCGATTGTGTTCGGAGATTACGGCACGCTATCTTTTCCCTTGCTCCCCAATGATAAATTGCTCTTGAATTAACTTTTCATTCTTTACCATAAAGATGTATTGTGAATTAGATATTTCATTCGTGACTATGCGCAATTGATATTGCGCTCTTGACTGGTGACTTTTCAATGCACATATTCGAAATTTTATCAGCTAACTAAAAATGTGGCGAAACATTGCTGGAGTACGAAAATTAAGAAATATAAGAAACAAATTTCATATTATTACGAGTCGCAGAATCTAGTCGAAGGCATAAGAAGATCAGACGACAAGTAATTAAAAGGTAACTGAAAGCCTGTGTAACGTTCAACCTATACTATGTATTTAACAGCCATCGGGAGCGGCTGGCGTCCTAATCAGTGATATTTATTCTTTTATATAAATTCCTCTCTCACAAATAAAAGAATTCGTAAATTTTCATAATAATGATACATTGTTTATTTTTTATGAAATGTATTTTAATTAACGGCACTCAGAGGATATAATAAATATTTTTAATTTCGAAGTCCTCAAACATCACTAAAAATAAACTTATATATGTATTTCTATTAAGAGAACTAGAGACACTTAGAATCTTTTGAGCTTTAAGTTAGACAAACGCTAAGGCGATCCATAGAACATGAGCTAGTTGTTGCCATCCGTTTTTGTAAAATCAATACTCAAACGGTATAAATTTTTCATGGTCTATATTGTTAATTATTTAGTTCTTAAAAATTTAGAAAATAAAAAGAAATTTTAATTCAAAACTAAATTGCAGCTATGTGTAAGATATTAATATACCAATATCAGTTACGAAAGACGCATTCTAGAGAGACAACTAAATTCAGAATTTGTATAAAGTTTTTATTACGAACGCACTATTACTTGATTGCTTGACGAGCAAAGTTCATTTACATGTTCTATTTAGAACGTTAGTACACAAAATTATAATACTTCCGAGTTTTAATAAAGCAAAATATTATTCGTTAAAATTTCATTGACGATGTCATTATGTAAAGAACTAAATTCAGAGTACATAATTTGCACAAGAAATTTAGTACATAATACAGCAAATAAATAAATGTTAAATGTTATCTTAAACACAATGAAGCGTATGTTCTTCAAGAATAGAATTGTGTAAGAAACGTCTGAGTTTATATTTGATTTAAACTTAAGACCTTCTTGAGATATTTCTTCGTAATACCTATCTAAAAGTTTATATTTTTCATAATGCAGTCGTAAGTCAATTTTAAGCGTTTGCGAAAAGGCGTTATAAATACATTCAATAAAATAGGTTTAAGCAACGACACATATAAGATGTTAAAAGTATTATACCCTTATGTCAGTTAAGACGAAAAATCTTACCTGCTTAAAAAGTTACTTCGCAATTTGGGAAAGTATAAAAAATTATATGTCAAACCAAGCACCAATGCAAAACGAAGATTGATGTATACGATGATTATTCTTACAGTTCGAAATTATCAGTCTAAAAATGCCAGTTACAGCATCAAATGATACATACAAATCCAGTTAAATAAATTTCCCCTCCCCCAGCGTGCCAAAATCACAAAAATCGTAAAAAAAGAAAAAATAAGGAAAATTGAAAAGTTATTCAAAATGTAAAATTTTACACTTCTGTATCTATAAAGATTATGTGAAATTTTAGGCATAGAAAATAATAATAATTCTAAAGTATAGCAGTCCAAATATAACAAAGATAAATTGCTCGAAATATGTGAGACGAGCATAATATTCCGAGATATTTGAAAGCAAAGCATTTTCGAATCGCTGTTCGCTATTCTGTTTTATCTTCGTACGCTATTTTATTTCATCTTACCGTGGACGCTTAAGGACACCACTTTGCTCAGTCCGTTTCCGATATCATTAGATGCTTTGCATTCATATTTCCCCGCATCCTCTGGCTTCACATCACCAATGATGAGAGAACCATTGTCAGCTAATTGATATCTATCCGTTAGTTTTAGTAGATCACTTTCCTCGCCTGAAAAAAAAAAACAGAAAGAGAGAGTTGAAATTAGTTCTATATTAAATCAAATACTGCCATTAATCTGAGTGTCGTTAAGAAATTATACGTTCTTAAGTACAGTTTAAAAATTAAACAAAATTTAAGGTAATAACATTAAAGCGCTTTGAACGTACTAAATATAATCAATAGGACGAACCTTTATTATTTTGCTGTATTTTTTCTCTTATAAATATATTTTTTGACAATAACAAACATATTGTTTATTTTTAATCGCTTATATTACTACCAGCAACACTCAGCCACTGTATGTAATTAACACTTAAAAATATCATAATTCACAAACATCATAAAAAATGATTTCACAAATATAAATTTCAAATTCTACGAACGGAATTTGAGATTGTTTGAGAAATGACGGAACATAATAGCAAATAAATAAAAATTGTTATTTTCATCATTTCATCACCTAAAAACGAATTTTTAGCCCAAAAGAGCATTAGCCCGAATGAGCTCTTAGTCTCAAAACGGCATTTGACGCCGTATCACTTTAAATGTTTGAAACACTTTTTAAATTGTGGCCACCAACTATTATCGCCCTGTATTACTTAAGAAATTATTATTCACTTTAAGAAATTAAATAATGAAGAATCTACATGAGTTATTTATTTTTCTCTCACACGAAAAAAAAAAACGTCGGTATCTAAGGTCATCAAATTTGGAATAACGTAGTCCTCCACCCGAACATGTACACCTGAAAGACCGAATTTTGAATTTTATGTTTCATATTTTGCAAAACTTTTATGAATTTTTAACAAATTCAACGATTCGAAAGCAAGCAGTGGACACACTATACATATTAAACATTATTATCTTCAGCTCGCGAGACTGTCTATCGGGAATTTTAAAGATATACTGTTTTAAAATATTTTGTGATTTTGGTATTCAACTAAAATTTATGTGCTATAACAGTTAACATAAAAAAGAAGAGCATGATAGTTAATTAATAATTTTAACCCACAAACCGTTAATTAAAGTCACAAAAAAAGAAAATAATAATAATAAGAAAGGTTTGCAAGACATCTTATTAAGAAAAGTGTACATTGCTATGATAAACTGAGAAAAGACTGAAAAAAAATAGAAAAATGTATGCTAACACTTAACACTTCATCAGGAAGTCTGCGTTTTTTTTTTTTTTTTTTTTTTTTTTTTTTAATTTTTCTGTTGAATTGTATATGGCGTAAGTGCGAAGAAAATGTTGCTTAATAATAAACCTAAAAAGACATGAAGAAATGAGTTAGCAGGAGTGAGTGCAAAAGCAGACTGGTAGATCTTTAAAAAACCCTTTTTTGGCGACCGTTAAAATCTGAACCCTTTCAGATTTTTATTAAATATTAGAACCACAAAGACAAAAGCCAATGCATCCTTCTCTTGTCTAAAAGCGGAGATACAATTACCGTGATTTTGATATCCACGAAACCAGAAAATAGCGTGGCCTTGTTCGCAATGCATCTACGTCAATATCTAAGTGCGTCCGCTATATATCACACTTCAGTCACGTCGCAGAGAGAAGAGAAAGGAGGAAAGAAAAACAGTAAAAATCTTGGCCTCGAAGAAGATGACAAAATGCTTTCAAGCACATATTTCTCTTCTTGCGGATTCTGAACACCCAATCAGAGTGCTAAAAAAACTCCCCTTTTGTTTGAGTAACGCAAGGATCAGACTCGAATCATTACACCTTGTGCCTAAAATACATTTATATAGTATATTAAGAAACAAAATAAGACCTTAAGACAACAAATTCGCTTCTTACATGTTCGCTTGCATTACCTAAGCATTAATCGATGCAATCGTATGGCTAAATTAGTTCCTTATTTATGTATATTTACTTCTTTTACAATAGCTTTACCTAAAATGCAACAAAAATACTAAATTTCAGAAAATTACCAATATATCATTTTTAATAAATACTAGAGATAGAACGAATCCCAAATTCTCCAGTATTCGAATCCAAATCCCGAAAGGCCCTAAAATATTTCATATAAGAATGCGAATAAAGAGAAGAAAAAAACTCTTATTTAATACTAAAAGAACTTAATCGAAACAAAGTTTGAAACATGAGCGTAATGAAAGAAAAAAACAACATTAAAGAATAGAGTTTTTAGAAATATTCTCATGCTTTATACGAAGAAGATACAAATAAAATTTAGTGCATGTAGTAAGATTTTATTTCTTTTTTCAAATGTCACAAATGAATTCTTTTTTTTTTTTTTTTTTTTTTATTTTCAGAATCGTTTAAACAAGCGTAATGCATGGGGATAGCGAATTTTTTCCGAGAGATATCTTTGATAAACACTAAACGTGCAGCAGTAAAAAGAATTTAAAAAAAAACTGAAAAGTTCATAGAGTACTAAAATTTAAATTTAACTTACGCGTGATGATATTAGTTATTCAGGTATCACTGAAATTGCGACAATGGCATTCTTGTTTTAATGAATGCTTCTTCTAGATCCCCCTTCCCGAGGGGAAAAAACTAATCTTTTATAAAATTTTGAGTTAAGCCGTTTAAAGGTTCTTTACACTGCGACTCGAAATATTCCTCTGACTTAAAGCACGATGTATCTAGTTCAAGAATTTCATATCTTTGCCAAGATTCAAAGGATTTGATTATCCGAATATGTAATCCCAAATAAACACAATGAGCTTTTGCAAGATACTTTCACACAAATATCTTAAAAACCTGTATTAAAGCGTCTTAGTTTCCTTTTTGAGATTTATGTATTTAAAATTAGGCCAAAAAAAAGCAATTTTAGTTTGGCGTAGATTTTGAATAAAACTTCCTAGGCGATCAGATACAAGTTTCATCGCTCAGTATTTCCGATATAAAATGTTTGTTAGAAGAAGAGAGAAGAAGAGAAACCTGTATCTGACAGCCCTGAAAATCGGTAGAGTTTTGTTCAAAATCGATGCCACATTAAGTTATCTTTTTGACGAATTCTAAATTTTACCGTATTCTCTTCCAATTTGACTTAGTATTTAATTTATGGAACATCTTATATGGAGTGGCGCATATTTACTTTAAAAATTTTAAGCAGTTAATAATAACATTTCTGCTCCCATTGTTTCATTTATTTCAAAATTAATTCAACCTTACAATTATTTTTTGCTCATATTATCATGAGCAAAGAATTTGCCCATAAAAAGAAATACAGGATTACTAACTCATTAACTGCCATGATCTCCATTTGGGGATTTGCTTTAGTAGTGAAATTTTGGTAACTTTAATTATGTTGGCAACAATGGTTACTTTTTTTACATTGTTGTTTAAACCTTTTTCAAGCTTTTGCATGAGTTGTTCAGTAGTAGTTGTATGAGTGAGCTGGAGAGTATTATTTGTGAGAAGAAGTAAAATTTTTGTGAGTTTCTAGATTTCAACATTTTCAAAACGTGGTATGTCATATTATTATGTACATCATTTCTAACTCCAGTGTATTACCGTGTTCTCTATAATGGTTTTAGAGTGTATTTGCTGTATATTTAGTGTCAATGTGAATTTTATTTTACGGTGAGGCTACTTGAACGTCGATCCTCATTTGGGCCATATGGCAAATTCCATCTATATTCCATTTATATTTCAATTTCCACTCTTTTTATCAATCTAGACACCTAGAAATAAATGTAAATTGAGGAAAAAAATTGACAGTTAATGGGTTAATTGAGTGAGTAATAAAAGTAACAGCTGTATAACTTAGATTACAATAAAATGGCTTTCGAGACTTTTCTATGTTACTTCAAATTACATGAAATTTTAATTTCAGTGATTCGGTCGGTTTAAAATTCATCTATTGCAAGTCTTTTGGAATTTATTAGAAATGACAATTTACTTATATTATGTTCTTTACTTATATTATTTGAGGTAAATTAATTTTTTTAATTTTGAACACACGTGATGTAGCTTTTAATATACGAACACTGAGAATGTACACCATATCACAAGCAATTTTCCAACTGCGTCGGATCTTCTTAAAATGAATGGCAGCCTTTATATACAAAAGCATTTACTCTACCAGTTGTTGAAGCTTTACCAGGGAAGCTGTAAGCCATTCCTGATAACATATTATTCGCAACTGCTTTGAGCATTTGTCGCTGATCCATAGTACTTTGCTCAACAGAATCATAGACTTTCATTTAGATAAAACTTTCGAAGACGCTGAAGCCACTAGAACAACATTTCTAAAACTTTTTCAAGTGGAGATTACCTTTATAAATTAGAATGTTCTGGGGAGCACCTTATTCTTGCACCTTCTACTTCGAAAACAATATTTTACCATATGCATACTTATACAATATTTCAGCGTATATATCTTTTAGCATATGTATATTAAGGATATTACATTTTAAAATATATTAATTAAAATTCATTAAATTTTATAGATATTAAGTTATTAGAAGAAAATTCGTATTCCTGTTTAATAATTCCAAGCTATTAAAGTTTAGATAATCTTTGTACTACTAACTAAAAATTCAAAAATTATTAGTACTCATTTTAATGAGATGCATGAGCGTGCCGATTTTTGCACAGCTGCTTTGTGTTTGGATGTATGCTAAGCTGAAGTCTGAGATAGCATATGCATTAAGTCGATTTCAATACTTTATAAGTTTGATGAAAACCTTTGCTCAGACAGGTACTTAGAAGCAAAGTGAATTACAATTTTTGAAGCATTATGGTCCAGTTCACTATATTCCGTTTTCACTGGTAATGAGCCCAGCTGCTCCAGATGTGCAGCGAAACGATGATGAGAAGAACCATAATCCTGTTGCTTGAAATCATCTTTTGTTGATAAGAATGGAGTGGAAAGTCGTAGATTGGATAACCAATCATAAATTTCACAAAATCTCAGTCTTAGAAGAAAAATATAATAGACGATTGAGATGTGTAATTTTCAAACACTGAGAGTTTCAACTATCGTGTGGAATGTTCAGTTGAATTTTATTTTTTATATTCTTTCAGAAATCTAATGCAGGCTTCGAGGACCACGTGTCCGCGGACTACAGTTTGAGACCCACTGCGCTAGATAATCTAGACCTCACATGACTGCTTCCAAGCCATTCCAGACAGGTAATTCTCGGTAAAAAAAGCATTCTTTTCCTGACATAAACTACCCCTTTCAATACATACTTAGACCACAAAAGAATGTTGGTGGTCAGTTAGATTTCGAAAGAAAGAAGCGTTTAAAAACCTTTTCAGATTCTCTGAAAACTTGATGCATCTCACACAAAGGTTACTCATACCGTCACAGAGCTTAAAAAACTCAGCGACAACTCATTTGTTACATTGAAGTTTATTATTATCATATTTTAACAATCATAATCTTTGTAACCGCTACAAACTGCATAGTTTCCAAACACTATGTTCTTGATTTGAGTGGCATGCTTGTTAGGAAGATAGAAATTAGGATTGATTATTAAGAATTAAGTAATTAGATAGACATTCTATTTAGATTAACTTTATCATATTTCTGCTTTCAAAGTATATCTAAAATTGATAGCAAGGGTCTAAACAGTGACTATAGATGGTTTCTGAAAGCGCTACGAAACTTTTAATCTCCCTGCAAAGCCTCGTAATAATAATGAAATGAATAACTTTATCCTTGTGCTTAAGAAGAGTTTAAAATCTCTTTTCCGTGTCAAATCTCCAATTAATCTTTGCCTTCAATTTTTTAGCCACCTCCCTCTTGTTACCTCCTCACAAAGAGAACGCTCTTCAGTTAAATACACTCCCGAAGAGCAGATGGAGTACCCTTCCTAAAAGATAAGATAAAAAGGTTTTCTTATCAATCTAAACTTATTCGGAAAGCCAGTCATCTTCGAAGTCTAAGAAAGGTATTTCATTTTTTAAGGGAATGAAAGAAGAACTCGGAAGTGTTAAACATTCAATAAATACTGTAATTTGAAACTGTGTCTGAAATCGTAAACTTTTTTATAACGTTTAAATTTTATGAATGCTCGCAATATACGGATATTGCAGACTGGTTACCCTGATTTTAGTTGACGTTAATTCAGTTCGTATTAATATGCATAACTTTGGAATAATGAAAGGAAATCTCCTGGAATTCTGAAAGTTTTATTACGTTATCAAAATGTCGATGCAAAATATGTTGATGAAGTATTTCCGCAGTACTGACCGACTGCTGTCTGCCTTGGTATTTCATTTGGCCTCTTATACGAATGGGTGTTACGTCATGTAAATTTTCCCTTTAAGGATATGATCTCAAAAAGCGCGTTGTTATTACTGTGAAGTCATTAACAAAGGATAAGTTGCACAGAATATATAACAGTTAAATATTATTTTTATTTTATTCTTACAGTGAAAAAAATCCACAAAATATTTTCTAAGTAAAACAATTTTGTTCCTATCGCACAGCTTGCTGGCCTTTTTGCGCTTGAAAATTTCAAACATAAAAGCATCTGAAACTGATCAGTCATAATGAATAACGTTGTACTCCTGTCTTAAACACTTGCAACTTATTATAAGTGAAAAGGAACAGCTGTAACCAAAAATCCATTACATGCTCTTTCATTAAGTTTGCTTGACATGAGACTGAAATAAGATGAGACCCAGCAACTTTAGAATATCCACGCATAATAAAGTAGCTAATGATTTCTGTTAATGTATTTTGAATACAATACTTAAGAAGAATTTGAAAGACTTACCGTTTATCTTGAACCAAGTTATCTTCGGCCTCGGATGCCCCCTGACTTCGCAATCTAAGCTAATGCGACCTTCCAGACCAACAGATGCATCCTGGGGTTCTTTGGTCCATTTTGGTGGAGCTACACAGAGAGACATACGAGTATGTTAATCCACAAATATTAGTCAGTCAACTACGTCATAAAAATTTTATTTTGTTTTTGATTTACAAGCAAAATTATTAATTTTCCTCCCAGAATTTCAGAAACTGTATAACATGATTAATCTTGCATGAATTCAGAATTTTAATGATACAATTTATTATAAAAGGAAATATATTAATTGACTAACAAAATTTATAGAATTCAAATATAAAATATGCTTCTTGAAAAAAGAGCAGTCCATCCTTTCTTCGAGAAACCAGATTAAAGTTAAAAATTCCAAAGACGTTTTAACTTGATAGACTAAAAAACTGACATCTGAATTAAAATTAGTTAAAATTATTCCTCTGTTACTTTCGCATTATAGTATACAGACCTGTAAATATAGTTATAGGAAGTATTATAATACAATATTTTTACATGTTATTTACACGTGAAAACGTTACTTAAAAAGGTTATTAGTTCATTTATTATATTATAAGCAATAATCGCATATCTCAGTGCCTACAATCGTAGTATAAATGATTTTCAGTTTACCAGCAAATGGATAGACCTTCATTACAATCTCATCGAGGACATAATCGACTTTTCACTATTCTTTTTACTAAACGATAATGCTTTCTATGGTATCTTTGGCATATTACTCCTGTAACAAAATTTCCCGTTCTCTTTTTTCCAAATTAATTTGAAAAAGGTTACACGCTAGACAGCTGGATTATTCTTAAAGTCAAGATTTAATGTAACGGTTTCGATACTGTACACTGCGGGAAAAAAATGGGACATTTCTCGTTCTACTGGGCCGATTGACGAAATTCAAATTGCGTTTTCCTGTCTCAAAAGCGCGACTTAGGATCCGATTTATATATAGCATTGTTGTAATATAGGTATTTTGACATGAAATCAAATATATATACATTTATTTATTTTTCCATATTTCGATTTTACGACTCAAACTATGTTTAAATATTAAATTTTAGTGCGAAATTTACGGAGAAATTCAAAAATGTTTCTTGGCGCAATTTTTTTTCAGTTTGCGCCAAGAATAATTCACTTGGCGAACTTCTTAATATATGGCAATCTATTTTTTTCCCATTTTACATTGTGGATGAACGGAAAAAAAGTCATTTCGTTCCTACTTTCAAATAATTTTAACAAAGTGCCTAAACCACATTTAATTATCGCTTTCAACAAATTTGCCAAATTTCAAAATGTGCCAACATATAAATTCACGTATATATTCGGACATTTTGAATGAAAAATTCTAATGTTTTGCAGATATGCTTAGAAATACATCTACTTAAGGTGATGGTAAAAGTTTCATAGATTATAATCCAAATATTTTTCGAAAAATTAATAAAAATTATTTAAAAATGCAAATTTTAAGGATAAATCATAAAAAATGGGCGAATTTTATTTGTAACGAACCTAAATTTTAAAATGTGAAAGAAGAATCAAAAACGTTTAACAAAAAAAAAAAAAAAAAAAAAGAAAGAAAGAAAGAAAGAAAGATTAATAAATATATACCAAATTCAATTAACATTGAGGAGCTACAATTTTAAGATCTATTTATTTTTAATTTTTTTAATTTTTATTTATTTATTTATTTTGTAAATTACTCTTGCGACTTTTACAAAACTTGGCAGTTTGCCATAATTTGAGTCGTAGAATCGAAATATGGAAAAAAATTGGCATGTCATTTTAGAAAAAATACGATTTTATGTAAAAATACCTATATTAGAACAATGCTATATATAAATCTAATGCATATCCTAAGTCACACTTTCGAGATATTAAAAGCACAAGTTCAATTTCGTCAATCGGCCCAGTAGAACGGGAGATATAGAACTGTCACTTTTTTTTTACGCAGTATACCTTGCTGTCCTATAATGTTAAAACACGATATTTTCATATATTTTCAAATTATGAATGGTATAAAAGATCAAATCTGAAACGGTAATAATTGTAGCGAATAACGGGATGCAACTCTGCTTGGATTTATCATTTCGCAGAATCAATATAGAATATTAAATATTATGGAACTCCCAAGGATTTCTATCCAAATTATTGTTGTCAAATAAATATATTAAAGAAAATTAACAAAAAGCTAATCTGGGTAGGAATGACCTCGATTCAAGTACTCGCAGTTCCACTGAGATAGACTATAAAGAATCACCTCTTTTAAAAAAAGTGAAAAATATTACAGCATTTGTATAAAGTTAGTTCTTGGCGCAAAACAAGCATTAAATAAAAATAAACACCACATGCGTTTTGATATTATCGCATTTTTTCGTGCATGTTGTTTAATGTAAGTAAGCTATAGCACATATAAGCGACAACAAAGTCATTATTTTAGACGATCCGCGATCTGAATCCTGTCAGGTTGTCAATTAATATTTCACTTTTCCTAGTAACAAAAAGGATAATGATCTCTATAATGGAGTCCGAACTAAGATGTGGTGGACTATAATTTGCCACAACTTGGATTTAATTGACTGGCTCTCACGGCTCTCTGCCTAGTCTCCTTTAAAACCTGAGGAAAATATACGAAATTAGGGCATTATCTCAGGTGTGCTCTCATAATATAAGGAATAGTACGTGTAACTAATAATTAACATTATTGTAACATTAGCAAATGCCTCATTATCAGTCATGTCATTTACGTGACTATGAAATGGCGTTCGTGTATTCATAACGTTCATTAGATGAATGATTATACGGAGTAAAAAGAGAGTTATGGTTCAGAAAAAGGAAAGGAATGTAAGATACTTTTAAAACGGAGATGGCAGAAATCCAAAATTTTTTCGATATCGAATACAAAAAGATTCTCGAATCTTTAAAAACTTCCGTATAAGAACAATAAAGGAAGGTAAAAATACTTTTCATTCATTTAAATTATTAATTAAAGCAAAGCAAATATCAGAATATTGTTTTAGGAGATTATAAAAATTCTGTTATCATTCCCTTCTTTCCATCAATTAGCTATAAAGTTGCACATATTTTGCAGAAATTTAACTTTCGGGTTGTTTATTCTCCCATCAGTAAAATTCCGAGTTCCATACTCAAGGACCCCATTCCGGATATGAATTCCTGGGGTATTTATAGTATTCCTTGCCAGTGTGGTTTAATTTACATTGGCTAAACTAAGAGAGCCTTAAAATTTCGCGTCAAGGAACAGAGGCAATATGTTAGAAAAAAAGGAAACACAGAAGTCGTCTGTTGCTCAACATTGTTGGTCCGAAAACCACACTTTCAATTTTTCTGCTGCCAAAATTATTCAAAAGACATCTTCCATTGGAGAACTGGATTTTCTAGATGCATTTCACATTCATAAAAATCTTTCTGTTCTAGTTAACGATCCTAATTACAATCCAAATTTGCCTTCGGTTTTTAAAGAAATTATGTTTTAGTTCTGGTTTCACCAACAGATGGCGCCACTTGATTATTCTTGTCCAGGCTTTCTTATCTTATATAATCATTATTTCCTATTTTGTTCATTTGCGGTTTTGCAGCTGAGGATGGTGGTTCGGTAAAACCATCGAAACTAGTCCTGTGAAAATTTTGTAAATATAACGCTTGTTTTTGTTGTTTGACTTCTGAATTAGTATTTATTCGGCGTGTTATTGTGTCTTAATTATCAGAATATTGGTTTACAAAAGTACATTTATATATATAATAAGAACATATAAATGCGATTTACAATAGTAAATGAAATTTGTAATAAAAATGTTATTCTTAAAGCTCACTTTCTGAAAATAATTTGATTAAAGTATTTATAAAAAAAAAATTTAAAGTTTTCAGATTTAATATTACGCCCAAAGGGGCGTTTATTTCATTTACGCATGTTACAAACATGTTTCGAGAACATTTCGGCTAAAAATACTTGAAAACAGCGTATTTCCGATAGACAGTCTCGCGAGCTACAGATAAAACTGTTTTATTCCAGTTATTACAACAGATATTTATTACTACAGATAACTGTTTGTCAGTATTGCTACTTCTCTCTTTGAAATCGTTGAATTTTTTAATGAATCATTCGTTAAAGTTTTACAAAGTATGAAATAGAAACAAAAAATCTGATGTGTACACTACATGACTTTACGGATTGTACGGAATATTAAATTATACGCATTTTTTCTTGCATTTCATTTAAACTTATTGGATTGAATTAAATTTATTTCGTCATGAGCGCATAAAACACAATAGAATAAATGCACTTTTTAAAATTTACTATATTTGTTTACCATGGCGAACTTTGGCCATAGGTTCGCTTAACAGCGTTAAATTTCATTCATTTTTTAACTCAGAATGCACAAAGTTTGTATCATCTTAAGAATTATCCAATCGTGGCCACATATTCTATTCAAATACTAAAATAAATCTAAAACGATATATAAAAGAAATTAAGCAAACAAAAAAAACAAAAAAAGTTTTTGCAGACAATTCAGTATTTCTCATTCAATTACTTCAGTTTTTATTTCGCGACAAGGCAAAAATACATAAAAACTCAAAATACCTGTATTGAAAGTTATGAAGTAAATCTTAAACACTTGTTTCCTCGAATAAATTCCAGAATATATTAAGCATGATTTAATTCACAATAATAAAAGAAAGCGTTATCTGTGTTTTTGAAGCTTACTTTCAAATGTAAACAAACATTGCAGATATTGCAAAAGGCTTAACGGCACTGTAAACAACTTTTTAAAATTGTAAATAATTCTAAAAGTATCGCATGCTGTTTTACTAAAGGCATAAAAACCTTAACCGGAAGATAAGAATAACATAATTTAATCATTTTCAAAGCAAAAAGTGTCCAATTTACAAACATATAAGATATACATATATACATATATAAGAATATAATAATACTCATATATAATACATAATTATATACTTTTGGTGCGGCCGATTACAACCAAAATACGAGGTGCACATCTACATGCTATAGCAATCCTATATACAAAATTCAATGTTCTGAGGCTACT